CAAGTACGAGTGCACTTTTCCTGAATTTATACATATTTTAGAGATAGGGTAAGGAGAACATCCTTGATTTTATCAGTCATTTCTAATTAACGTATTACATTTGTCCAGAGAGAAAGTACAGTATAATGTTTTGCTCCTGGGAAGTTTTCCACAAAAAAAGCTCAGCATTTGGTCAACATCACTTTGAATTGTTTCTTAACACAGAAGATATTCTGTAGTGTGAATTAAATCAAGTATTTATAGAAAATACCACAGAACATATAGCAGCCTGTTTATTCCTTTCACGACATGCCATCATATACTGGAATAGATTTATGGGAGGGTGTTGTTCTTCAACATATTTAATGTTATGAGTTAGCCCTCATTATAAAATTTCTCCTTCTTTGACAATAGAATTTTTAGCAGACACCTGCTTATCCAGAATACAGGCTCCATTTCTCAGCCCTTAGTGCTAGGTGTGGCCATGCAACTAAAGTATAGCACATGAAATCTGATAGAAAAAGAAGTGTGTCCCTTCTGGGTTCTGCCTTTACACAGGAGTGTGTTCAACCCTGTACTCTCTCTTTTTCTCACTGACTTGACTATCAATAAGGGATCAAGATGGTAGAGCAGTTAGATCAAAGAAGCCTAGGGTTTTGAAAACATAGAGGCTACATATTGGTCCAGAACTCTTTATTCCCAATTATTATGTGTATGTGAGAATAAAGATATTGTTTAAGTCACTTTTATGCTGGTTTTCTACAACAGCAGTCAAAAGTACAGCATAAACGATATAGTTTAGTTTATTGTTGGAATGTGAGATTTTTGTTCGAATGTGGAATTAGGTGTCTTCTCAAGGTTCAGATCATTTTGCATATTTTGGAGTTTATATTGCTTTGTAATATGGCTTATGTTTTATGTGAGCAAATAAAAATATGTTCATACATTTATATAGTATCATGGTTATGCAAAACTTTGGGGACTATTGAAATAGTCTCTAGAGAAGACTGAATTTTGAACTCTCTTTAATTAGCTAACCACCATCGAGAATAAATACACTAGTTCTTTAAAAAAGTCTAACCTCAAGTCTTTCCCTACATATTTTCCATCTTCACATCTCATTTGGTTTAAAGAGACCACTTCTTAGATTGGCTCCCTCCTCCAGATTTCTGTGGAATTTGTCTCTAAGAACTGCTCTTAACCAGCTGCCTTACCCCAAAGACCCACCCACACTCTATAAGCACTGGTCATATGCCACACGACCTTCTGACCCATTTGCTAATGTCTGTTCCTAATCTACTTGGTTTTCCTTTGATTTCAGTGGCTTCAATTCAATGATGTGTTTCACCATATTTAAGAGAATTATTAGCTTAAAAGATTAATATTTATATATCCTACAAATGCAGTCCTCTCCACTTGAGACTCTTAATAAATATATGTGTAGCTATCCGTGATGGCCAGAAATAACACTGGAAAACAACAAAAAAACACATCATGCAAAACAATGAATGCCAGCCAAGATTCATAGGTTTCAAGGAATGATAATGTATATCTGAAGTACAATGCTATTTTAGTACCTTCTGAGGATCACTCTTAGAAGCTCTACTTTAGTTTTCTTCTTTTTTCCAAGTCTTAGAATCTTGATTATATCATGACCCCCCCCAAAAAAAAATCATGCTCAAAAATTCAATGAAGGATTTGGTTCACTCGGATGATTATCAGATAGTAAGCTGATTAAAGTTCTCCCACTAAAATTTTATTAGTTTATATTCTACTTCACCTTTTCATGCACTAACATTAAAGCTGTCACCATGGCTGACAAATAGTTTTACAGATATAGACAATGAAGCAAATTCTTTTCAGCATCTGGTACCTAACCCCTTAGACATAAAAATGTGGCTTGTGTGTCTCCCCAAAAGCCTCTTTTTAAACGATGTTCACTGGCATTAGGAATGGAGTAGTTGATTGGAACTCTTGTCAATATTTTGAAAAACTTTATAAATACTGGTTTCCATTTCATAGGAGTGATGATAATCATAATAACTATTTAAGGGGTCATTTTATGCCATGCAGAAAATGCTCCAAATAGTTTATAGATCTAATATTTTGTTTTTGTACTTTTGTTCATTATATGTGCTTCAGCCATAATCCTATCACCTTTTATAAAAATTATATAGGATAAAAGGTGAAAATCCCCTGCTTCTACACTTTTAATTCCGTTCTTTCAAAGTAACTGCTTTTAACAATTTTATGCCTATTTAACCAGAATTTGCACAGTCTTATTTAATCAGAGAGCTTTATACCCCTGTCCCTATTTATATCTATATACATACATTTTGTCCTATAAGGTTGGTATGTGCTAGACATAGTGGTCTGCCACTGCCTTTTTCCACATACACTATATCATGAGCATTATTAAGTTAATGCACACAGAACTCACTCTATTTTTTTAAAACTTTTTTTAAGATTTTATTTTTATTTACTTGACAGAGAGAGAGTGAGAGAGCACAAGAAGGGGGAGCAGCAGAGGGAGAGGGAGAAGCAAGCTCCCCGCTGAGCAGGGAGCCCAATGCAGGACTCCATCCCAGGACCCGGAGATCATGACCTGAGCTGAAGGGAGTCGCTTAACCAACTGAGCCACCCAGGCGCCCTCACTCTATCTTTTTTTTTTTTTTTTAAAGATTTTATTTGTTTATTTGACAAAGGGAGACACAGAAAGAGAGGGAACACAAGCAGGGGGAGTGGGAGAGGGAGAAGCAGGCTTTCCGCCAAGCAGGGAGCCCGATGCAGGGCTCGATCCCAGGACCCTGGGATCATGACCAGAGCCAAAGGCAGACGCCTAATGACTGAGTGAGCCACCCAGGCACCCCCTCACTCTATCTTTTTAATGGCTACATAGCATTCCAACTATAGATAAGCAATAATTTAACATTCTTTATTGATGGAAATTTAGGTTGCTTCTTTTTTTGTAAGTAACATACAATATAATGATGAATATCTCTGCCCATATATTTTTATGAATTTGTTTTACTATTTCCTTTGATAGAGTTCTAAAATGGCTAGTTGCCAATTCAAAGGTATTTTAATATTCATTCAGTATAAAATAGAACAGAAATTCCTACAGACTTTGATTATAGAGGCTTCTCGCATAATCATACTTTTCCAGAGTAAATCCTAAACTTGAAATTTTGCATTTAATCTGTTTATTACAAAGCATCCCGAATGAGCTATAGAGTCAAAGCAAATATTCAACCAGACAATGCCATAACACTTTAGAATGATGAAATGCTTTAAATAGAATATTTAAGTTAGAACTTGTAAATAGGTTATAATTACAGCTCTCACAATGTAGCCATGCTATAGTGACATGTCCAAGAGCAAATTCTTTCCAGCATTCTTAGTATTGATATAAATGTCCAAGTGGTGAGCATATGTTTCTGGAATGTTTAATGTTTCTGTCGGCTGTTGGGCAGGGTTTGTCTTATTTTAGGGGAGCTATGTCATAGGTCAGTTAATAATTTCTTATGTCATTATTGCATTCCCAACAGATTTGATAGGATAAATGGACATTTCTGAAAAAGTGACCAGAGCATGCCAATCATAACAACTTTATGGAGCATTAATATTTTAATACAATATATGAGGAAGGAACAGTTTGCCAGAAGCACAGAATGCTCTGTTGTCATATAGTTTGAGCACATTGATCTTTGTTTGCAAGTCTTTGACTTCATTTAAACTAACTTATGATAAAACTACGGACCTAGTTTGTTAGCAAAACCACAGTTTATGGAAACCAGACTTTTTTTTTAACCACAAAGAGAGTTAGAGATTTTTTTCCTCATTGTAGATAGCCCCAGTTGAACAGAACTAAGAACACTGGTTTTGTGTTAGGAGAACTGCAACTATGGATTAGTATTATATTCTAAGAGGGGGGAGGATGTTATCCAATCTATAGGGAGTTTTCAATGCCAATGACCATGTTGGATTTTTAGAAGAAATTATATTTGTACTTATATCAGGATTGCAAAGCACTACATTGTTGGAAGAATTTGGAGAAAATCCTAAAGATAAGACAAACTTTGGCCAAGAGTCTACTAGCTAAACCATGCTTCCTGTAACTCCAGTCTTTGCTTCTCTCACTTGGAAACTTCTTAGGGAATATGGCATCTACAGGATTAGTCAAAGGGGACTTGGCAACAAGAATAATTTCAGGGCGCCTGGGTGGCTCAGTTGGTTAAGCGACTGCCTTTGGCTCAGGTCCTGATCCTGGAGACCCGGGATCGAGTCCCACATCGGGCTTCCTGCTCAGCAGGGAGTCTGCTTCTCCCTCTGACCCTCTTCCCTCTCGTGCTTTCTATGTCTCATTCTCTCTCTCTCAAATAAATAAATAAAATCTTTAAAAAAAAAGAATAATTTCAGTTATTGGCTCTTTTTGGTTAAGAGTTAAAGAAAAGTTGATACATCTATTGATGGCAAATGTGCCAGAATATTATTTAAAATAGTATCAGCATAAAGGCCGTAGGGGATACTGTTGCCTTTGTATACATAAAGGAGTGCTTTTCCAAATGTAATTCATAGCCCTTTAATTATGATAAAACATACTTTTTAAAGGGAAAAAGAAATAAGCCCAAATAATTGACATTAAATAAAGAAAATACTATGATTTTCTTTCTTTCTAAAAACTAGAGAACACTCTTCAGATAGGCCTTGACCTATGAGCTATCTGGTGGCTATTTAATCCCAATTAAAGAAAGCGAAACCAATTCTGTCTTCAACACAATTCCAGAATACAATGTTCACAAACTATTATAAATACTATTAGTGAAATGAATCGGTTATTGATATTTTAATTTTTGCAGATTTTGACGGTTTCTCCAAGAAGATATCTCAGAGTTATACAGCTACACTATAGGGCAAAAGAAACATTCACATATCTCTTGAATCTGAGCAAAATAATAAGTGACGGCCACAAGGATATTTATAAAATCCCCAAAGCCAGATAATCTTTGCATGTGTCTTACCTTTCTTTTGCGAAGCCTGACGGGGTTATCTGTGGGCTCCTGGGTGGCCAGAGTTTCCTTTAAGTGTAAACACTGCATGCCATCTCCTGAGCTGACCTGTGGGAGACTTTTGTTTTGATGTTCTGAGAAACCACTCTTCTTGAGGCCATTTTCAGCTGACATTCCACTAGGGCAGGAAGGAGGTTGCAGGAGGCAGCTTCTAGAATCTGCTTTTAATAACGGCAGTCCTCTGTCCATGCAAGGAAGAGCCAAGAACTCACCCTGTACTACGTCACAGGTGTTTCTTTCATGTTCATCTTTAGGGAAGTCAAGTTTCCTTCGTTGCTGAGCAATTACAGCAGAATTAAACAATTGCTTCTCAGGCACAATATCTTTCACATTCGAAGAGTCATATGCATTTATTTTGTTAGATGCATCTTTTCTTTCACTTAAGCTTATATCGTTACAAAGCTCCAGGCTTTCACTTACAATGTCAACAACTTTTTTCTCCCCCCTTTCTTCTACCAGTGCTGAGTCAGCTCCAGCGGCCATTCTCCAGGAATTATTTGGGTGACCTTCCATGACGGGCAGCATCTTTACTGAGGAGCCTGCTCCTCTGTTGCTATGTTGGTCTGATATTTTTTGTCCTTGGGCAGGTAACATCTGTTTATCATCTGTAATATATGGATCAGAATCGGTATCCTCATCAGAAACATGCACCAGTGTTTCTGTGCTGGCCTCCAGAGAAAGAAACTGATCTCCACCTTCGTGGCTGTCATTTTCATCCACCTCCTTTGAAATGTGACCCATGGGCCTCCCAGGAAAGTCTCTCAGCTCTGAACCATGGCAGCAGTCTGGTAGTGAAACACACCTCTCTTTACGATCCACATTTAAAGATGCATCTTTTTCCATACTTGCCTGCAAGCTGTCAGCTACTAGTCCATGATGACATGCTGGGTTATAATCATCAGAATTAAAAGGCTGTCCCATCCATTGGGTCACATGTTCTTCCCAGCTTCTCTTTCTGATAGCTACAGACATGTCATCGTAGTTTAACAACAGTTAGAGAGATACGTTCCATATGAGACTAAAGGAGATGGAACTTGATGAAAGATGACTTCATATGCACTGACTGAAGAAGAGAGTGAGTTTTGTCATTTCACCACCTATTAAAAAATGTAAAAATATATATATCGTTCAGGATCATCATTCTCAAGTCAAAATATATGTTGGAAAAGAGAGCATTTAATCTGTGCTATGAAAGATTAAGTAAGAGATCTTACAAAGCTTCTATTCAATGGCTTGAATGATGTTACTTCTTTAAGAAATAGCCTCGCTTTAGAACAAAATTTCACATTTAATATTTCTGGTCAAAAAGCAATGACAACACTTTAAATGCAGCTGGATTGATTGACCTACTAATGAATAAAGATATAAGTACTGAATGTTTGAAACTCCCTTAAGAACATATTTGCATTGCAGGACTTAATAAAATTCACCAGAAGAAACTTGTTGCTCTAGCTTCCATGCTTTTGTGCTTTAGTTTTATGAACACAAGTCCTTATAGAAATCTATTTGCTGTTTGATTTGAATTGCAGCAAAGGCCGCCAGGGTACCATTCATGCAAAATTTGAGCCATAGAGACAGCATGTGCAATGTCTTAGTTTGTGAAAGAGCTAACGTGGATCCCAAAATCCCAGGATGTAATTCACTCCGGGGAATGACTAAGAAGCTTGGAACAATCTAGTTTAGCTCCTATTAACACATAATTCATAAGAAAGTGTAATGCAGACCACTGACCATGCCTTAGGATAAATACATTTACATGCATGCTATCACTGTTACTACTAGCTAGCAAGTTTGTTTTGTTGAAGCTTAGAGACATTATATAAGTTGCCCAAGGTCAAACATCCAGGAAGTATGTCAGGATTCGAACTTGGCCCTGGTTCTAACTTAGACAGCCAACAAACTTCACTGTTGCCATGGAATGAATTCTACCTGTGCCGCTTCCCTCCACCTAGCTTTAGTATGTCTAAAATCTAAACTCCTTATGTAGGAATTCAGCGAACCAAAAAGAAGATGTGAGCGTGATAAAACAATTGGGACAATTCCTCAGAAATTTCAGTCACATTCTTTTTGGCTTCTAAGGAGTTTAGTTTGTATACTGCTATTAGAATTTGACCATAAAAATGTAAGTAAACCAGAAAACCAGGCCTAAGATAAGGTAGAATATAAACACATTCCAGGTAGCCTTTCCCTTTTTGCCCTGAATTATTCAAACCCTCAGTTCAAGGAAACAAATTATACCAATGTAAACTGAACTTTACAAAAATGAATAATCCAAATGTTGTCCCATAATGAAACCAAGTTATTGGACCATAAAAGAAAAATCCCGTTCAAAAGAGCAGACACTTCTAGTTTTTCCTCCACACAAGAACTGTCAGCACATAATATGGATTGGCTTATTGATTTCGGCCATAAACAAGATTAACTGCTGTGCTGGTTTTGGGTCACTTCAGTCTATTGAAAAAGATTCTGAGTCCCTACCAAAAATTTCAAGCTATTCAGACTAAGCACTTGCCAGAAAGGTAAATAGTCCCATCCTGTGAAGACCAGCGGAGTTAAGGAATGTGCTAGAATTTGGTACCCTATCCTGACCAAATATCTTTCTGGATACTATCAGGTTCCCTCAAAGGTCCGTGACCATTTGAAAATGGTCAGCCTGCACATTTTCCATGTTGGCATTCATTTTGTACTCAAAAGAAAATATAAAGTCCCCGAATTCCATGCATAAGTCATTATAGTGTGGGAGGCTACGGAAAGTGGAAAAAACGCATAGATGCAGGCCAGAAAATTTCTGCTTTCATGGGCAAATTTGGGTTGTAATAGGGCGGTTCTGTTTTAGATGCTTTCTTTTCTTTATTTTTATCCAGTGTAGAGAGAGCAGGCTAACTTAAGAAATGCCAAGTGGTATTACTGTGTCATTCCTAAGCCACATTTACATTTGAGACTAAATTCTGGATTCATTTTTTAACTAAAAAGAAATTGAGTTTTATTAACTCCTTGGGGGACAGATTACACAAAAGTTTTACCCTTAGGACCTTACCATAATATTAATTTATTTCACTCAACCTTGGCAAATAGGTGAGTGTTTTTATAATGTCAAAGGCAGACAGTTCAACAAGTTCTGAACCACCCAGTTGCTAAGAGAGATTGTAAATTTGGTGGATTGAACACATGAAAGCATTAAAACTCCTGTCCTGCTCATCTAGGTTCTTCGGATATTTCCAAATCATTCCTGTGAATGTATAATGTCTATATTTTTTTAAGACAAAATTTCCTAATTATCCTTATGACCATCATCTCTACATTTTCAGTGCTCATTCCATATCCTGTGGTCTGATAGATTTTTAAAAATTTTCTCTCTCCAAACTTTGTTATTCACACTTCCTATTTAAATACTATTTATAAGCTCTATAGTTAAAATCTGCCTCCATGATCTAAAGCCTAAACAGATAATTAAGAAGAAGGAATACCAGATTACTGTCAGTCGCATCTGAGCATATTGGCCTCATTTTCTAAATCATCTGAAATGACTAGAATCCATCCTATAAGTTATAGATGTCTTGGTAAAAGACTTGATTTTTCCCTATCAGTCTCCTCATCAGACTGCTCTCTTTAAAACTATATTTCTAACTATCAACTATCTATTTTGCAAATTTCTCTTACATTTTCTTGGTAATCCTTTTTGTGCATTTTCATTCAGAATGAGCTCAGCTGCTGAGGATTTGGATGAAGGATCTGGAAAAGCGTAGGTCATTGCAGGATGTTGATTTTATGAAGTGGATTTCCATGGGGATTTTTCACTTCTTAAATGCATGTGTTCAAACACCACTATATTCATATTACAAGAGACTCTACGTACCTCTAATGTTGTAACAATTCTGGAAAATGTTTGTAAAATGTCCAAATTTGCTTTTTGTAATATTAGTGCATAAGATGTTTAGATGCAAATTAATTTCAAATTTATTATTTGAGTTAATTTTGTAACATCACTCCTTAACATAAGCATTTTATACCATACAGTATTTTAAAGTTAATTGAAACTAAATATAATTATATTAAATGACAACAGCAATTGGAGACATTCTAGTCTGAGAATCACTGACCTATATCTCATAGCAAATGATCATGCTCTCCTTTGCACCTGCTTCTGAAATAAACACATTCTATATTTTGGCCTGGCAAATGTCCTTAGAGAAGATTCTGATGATCATCACCAGTGCTCATTCTATAGCCTGGGAGAATATGATGCAAATAAAGCACTTGTGGCTGAAATCAAGTGGGCAGGAATGAAGAACTGATAGCAATGCTGCCTGGCCAAGATCAATTCTTCAATCCTTGTTTATTTAGTGCCCAGTGGGCCACAGACACTCTGCTAAAGATTGGCGATATAAACCTAAATAATATATTTCACCTTTCCTAAAGGAGCTTACAATTTTATGGGAGAAACTCATGTAGAGAAAAATAATATATCATCTCATGGCAACAAACATCATGTAAAGTTTAATATAAAGCACAGGGTCATCAGTTTCCCCTCCCTCCCTCCCTCTCTCCTTCCTTAGTCTTTTTTCCCTTCCTTCCTCTTTTTTCCCTTCCTTCCTCCCTTCCTCCCTTCCTTCCTTCTCTCCATTCTTCATTCCTCCCTCCCTCCCTCCTTCCCTCCTTTTTCAATAGTGAGTCCTGTGGGATGATGGAAATTTTAGGTAGGTCTTCCAGGCGAGAAAACCCCTAAATGAGGCCCTCTGTGTTAAATTTCCTGCCTCCACAACATCCAGATCAAATGGGAGCTGAGGTTCAGAGTTTCTCTGTTCTAGAATCACCTCTTTGGGAGAGATGGCAGAGGCAACAATAAATTCCAGAGAATTACTAACAATTTGAAAACCCATTTGACATCTTGGAGGGGAACTACATTTCTCAGGTGCATTCAGAGAAAATTGAGGGGAGAGACTTAAAAAAAAATTTTTTTTTTCAGAAAATTTCACAGACCTGTCTTCAGATTCAAGGGAATTTGTGGAGTATGCAGTAATACAAGAAATAAAAGTAGACCACACCAAGAAACATTATTGTGAAATTTCAGAACTTTAGAGGTAAGCAAATGAACATAAATGTTATCAGAGAAAGAGAGAAAAGAGGTTATATATTATGCATTGGGAATCTCAATGTTATTGGATTTCTTAACAGCAAAACTGGAAACAAGACAGGCAAATATATCTTTAAAATTCTGATGGGAACTTATTTCTACCTTAAAATTATATGAAGAGACTGAAAAATATCCCCCCTCTTCTCAAGAAGCGACTGGAGGGATAGTTCTACCCAAATAAAAGAATAAATAAAATGGAGAAGACATGGCAACAAGGGAGTCAGAAACTCAACACAAAGACCAGGGGATGGGATTGTAGCAGGCCTAGCAGGCAATCATTTCACATAAACCCTAAAGTTCTCCATAAGAGATATCTCTAAGGAAAAAACCATGGAAATAATAGATTATATGAGGTATGGGACCACATTGAGAGGAGTTTATAACAAAGTCAAACAATTTAGGTGGAAGAGTTAGTAATACTTATGTAGAAAACTAAAAATCAATTATTACCTCCAGGAAACACAGGGTTTTAAAAGAAAGGAAATATAATCATTAGCTGTGAATTTTTTGTGTGGCCAAATAATGCAAACAGCAAATACTGCCTTAATAAAAAATTATGAAAGCAACTATTTTTGAAGTATAAAATTTTTGTAGGGGATGGTGTTAGGGATGCTGGGAAGAATAGTCTCAGAGAGCTGACTCTTCATTTTCCATAATAGGAATTTAACAAATAATGTCCAAAATGGCAAAAAATATAGTATAATCATACTGTTTAGAAATATGGAGGTAATAGGAGAAACAGCTAAAGAGAATTTAAATTGTTATAATTCTGTATGGTATTTGCTTGAGGCAAAAAAAAAAGAAATTCCGAATCTCAGAAAGCATGTTAAATAATAATCTAAATTTAATCTAAATTTTAATATGTTCCACAGCAGTAATTTTAAGATTGACTTGATACATAAATACGTCTACATTTCCTCTACAATATGTCCAATAGGACCCAAATATTCCCTGTATTCCTTT